CAATAACAACATCAAGAACCCTAACAACAACCCCCAATAAGAATAAACAAGAGAAAAACAAAAAATATGTTTGAGTGCCAAGCTAACAATTCGAGGACATACTGTACATAGATAAAAAAAACGAACCAAAAACAAACACGAATAAGTTTTAAAAATACACTGAAAATAGGTATGTGAGTTCGGGGGCTTCAGAAGAACTAGTTCTTTAATTTTTAAATATTTTTAAATCATATTCAATATGGTTTTTAAATTGAGATAAATTGAAAAACTAATTTTCTGATTGCCCCCAAAAGCACAGCAACCATTACAAAACTTAAGAAAAGAATCGGTCAATTGAAAAAATTTCTTTTTCGACTTGAAACATGGTAAAAAAAAAACTATCCAGAAAAAACACAGCAAAACTTTTAAGCAAGTCTAAAGTAAGGCTAAACAGGAGACAAACATAGAACCAATTTTTAAAGAATATCAGTGCGGAAAGGCCCCCCTCCCCAAAATATCCTCTCCAAAATGTACATTTCCCACACACAAAAACACAACGTACACACTTTTTGATACGCTAAAGTCAAGTTAAAGTATATGATATCTACACACTTATATATGGTAATATATAAAGAAAACAAATAGCAGGACATTGGAAACCTAAAAGAAAGCTTCAAAAGTTGTAAACAATTTTTTTCGGTATAAGCTCAAGACACGTACACACACACACACACTCACACACAGAGAAAGGAACTCACACATATACAGAGAGGCGAGGAAGCGGAAACGGAAGTGGAAGCGGAAGTGGGAAATTTAGGCTGAACCAGCGAGGAAAATTGTTAATACTACGTACATAGCTTGTGGGGCTTATTTTATATTTGTCGAACGACGAGGAAAAGCTGATCAATTTTTTGGAAATTAGCGTGGGAAAAACACATGAGAAAACCAAATAGAAAACGTCAGAAAAGGTAAAGAGGAAAGAGAGAAAAAACAACACTGTAGTGCCTACTCCCCTTTAAAAACAAAACAAAAAACAGAATAAAAAATAAAATAAAAATCGAAAACCAAAAAAAAATATATATATACAATACATATATACATTATACATACTAAAGTAATATTTTATAAAAACGCGCAGAGCAAAAAGGTAAAAAAGACAAAAAAAAACAAAACAAAAACAAGAACAAGGAAGTCAAAAATGGAAATTGCAGTTTTTTTGATAGTTATTTTTTTAGCGAGCAATGGGAGGCATTGAGATCTATATATACATATATATATAACTAAATATACATACACACCTATACATTAGTATATCTCACACACAGACAACCACACCTACATTTATACAAAAAGTACTTACGGCATGTAAAAAAGAACTTAGTTTCTAACAAATGAAGGAAAAGGAAAAATGAAAAAGGAAAAACTATTAGAAAACTGCAAGGAAAATTTGCGAATTTTAGGCAGTTAGCTATACTACACACACACACACACACTCAACCAAATCGAGATACAAAGTAGAAACAACAACAAAGTAGTTTTGCATATCCCCAAAAAGAAAATGAGAGAAAAGTTTTGGAACGATCAGAAATGGAAGGAAAAGCCACACAAAACACAGACACACAAGAAACCAATTTATCAAAAAATTAAACTAGTTTTTAGTAATGAAAGAGAATAATACTATTTTCACTGAAGGAAAAACACCACAAAACAATGTAAACATATTTAATAAATTTAAAAACCCAAAAAGAAAAACCATATTTTCGACATAAGCTAAATGAAAACAAAAACGAATACATTTTTAACCTTCCTCAATAATTTTTGAAGAATATGGAACAAAAAGAAAAAACACAATATTAGTTTCCCGAGTAGTGGTTTTCGTTTCAATCGATCTTGAATTGGGAACTCAAGCCAAGCATCCAAAATAATTATATAAAATATAATACAAAATAGCAGCACACACGAAGTGGGACAGTTGAAAAATGAAAATGGGTAGCAAATTAATAGTTTTAGTAAACGACGGTTGAGAAAATTTTTGTAAGTTCCCTATTGAGGCTCATTCATAAATAATTTTACAAATATTTTTTAACACTTATTATTTGTTTGTTTTTAGACTTTTTTAAATATTTTCTCCTAAGTTATTGAACCTAAATCAATAAAACGCGACGGGGAAAACAGCTTGAGTTTAAGGCATTCCAAAGTGGATTTTCCCCAGAAAAGAACTGGAATTAATGGGCTGTTTTCCCCCAATGCAAAGGAACTGCCTAGCAAGAGGGTTAATAAACAGAGTAAGGCGGTTAAAAAACCACACAAAACATAAAATATATATGAAATTCACAACAAACCGAAATCCGAAGAAAGTTTAAACAGTAAACAATAACCGAAATAAGAGGATGAACAAATAGCTGCAATACGTTATGATTACGTCAATATGTTCCTACAATATAGACATACAAGATACATAAATAATTTATATAAATATATATTCTTAACTAACTGTAAACACACACCACACAGAAAACCAACAAAAAAAAAGAAGAGAATGCGACGGAAGAATTATACAATAATTAATTTAAGGCCGAGGCCGAAAAATTCACTAAGAGCAGCAGCGACTAACTAACTAAAACTAAATCTTAAATAATCACCTGCTTAAGTTTATCAAACATTTTTCATTAACCTTATCCTAAGTTAAGCGATTTCCCATTATTTATTGAGCGAGCGTAAACTTAAAATGACTCTAAAATAATGCAAATTATATATACACACATATATATATAGAACTATAAACTGCAATTTAAGTTCCAATCGATACAATTTAGTTTTCATTTATTTTTTTTTATAATTCGAAATAAGATTTTGATATTTTGTGGCTAATAAAAAGCAAATGAAAGAAACCAACAAAATCGAATAAAAATATATATAAAAACCATTTCACTCTCATGTACATTCCTTATTGTTTCACACACACACACACTCACACACTCAGCACCCATACCAACACACCCGAGCTGGAACTATATACACATATAGTTCTATATGGTACTTTGTACTCAATATGCCAGAGAGCTTGATGGGAACTCAACAGATATATATGGAAAATACCCAAAAAAAAAACAAAAAATAATTATTACTAATGAACAAAATGGAAGGTTAAAAATATACGCAAACTATATATTTTTTTCGTAGTCGAAACGAGAACTAAAAAAAACCAAAAGCACTGAGCAAGAATAATTACTTACAAGAACTCTCCACTCAATTTTCGACTCGACTCATTTTTCGAGTTGACCCAATGCTGAATAATAACTAAAAAAAACTCGAGAACTAAAAACTAAAGAGAGCAGCTTATCAGGCACCAAACAAAAAGTAAGCAAGAAATAAAAAAAAAATAGAAGCAATCAAGAAAAATATTTTAGAACGAAATGGAATTCAATTACTTACACGCAGTCAAACCAAAAAACATATTTTAGGCAATCCAAAACTAAAAAAAAAGTCCCCACATTCAAACACAGAACAACAAATTTATATGAAAATTATTACAAGCATAACTGAAGAAGGGAAAAAACAAGAAAAATATTTAAGCAAAGCAAGGCATATCATAGTTTATAACAAAAAACCGAAACACAAACAAGTATGAAGATTGCTAAAAGAAAAGTCAGGAGAAGAAGATTCTGAAGGGTTCCAGAGAAGGGCATCCAAAGCAGTTTTGATTTCTAACCAAATCCCAAATATTATCCCAAAATCCCCAAAGAATGATAACCGAGAAAAATGGATGGCTAATGAGAGGGAATCAAGACAGCAAGCTAAAACTAGAGAGAAAAACAAAAGAAAGTGGAAGTAATTACGTGCAGAACATGAAAACCTATAGGATCAGCAGGAGGATCAGTCATATATAGCTAGCTATATAGTCTATAGTCTATGCCTAACAACATTTCAAGTAGTCGAGCGATTGAAAAGATATAACATAATGAGAACCTAAGAACTTGTTCACACACGCGACACTCACACACTCTTACACACAAATACAAGCAGAGTAAAGAATGAAAACAAAGAATGAAAGAAGCAAGTGGAGAAGCTAAAAGATGGAAAACAAAAAAGAGATGAAGAAAATGAAATAAAATTCTAAATAAATAAAAATATTGAAAAATATTTTTCACATCTCGAGTTTTTATTGAAGAACGTGGCTAAGCCATGGATAAGTCTATATATTATGAAGATTATATAATATCATAACTGAAATAATAACACATACTTTTTGGAATTCTGAAAAAAACGGTCTTTTAAATTTTTTTCAAAAGTTGATTTTTTTGGAATCTATTCAATATAATACATATATGGTTTGGCAATATGAACTATTCTTTAAATCTATATTCGATCATATCATACGGATTTTTAGTTTCCTTTGATTTAAATTCGTATATATTTGATATAATATTCGATGTTGCACCCACAAAACGCATTTGAATGAAAAAATATTTTAAAGAATCTGGATCTCTTTGTAAGACTGTTTTTTAAGAACTCTTATTTAGTCCTAAGTAATCTTTCGTTCCCAAATGTACTCATGACCATAGATAGCAGTCACGTATGTAAGTATACTTATCCATTACTCCTGCAGCTTCTTCTCCTTTTCTCTATCGACTTATCGTTTCGACTCTTCCGTACTTTCATTTGCCATATCTGCCAGATAGTTTGTCCACATCTAGATGTCTTTTTGTGTGAGCTTTTAAGTGTTTGCTTGCCTTGTATTCAGTTGCCTTGCATGAGTTGGAAACGTAGCCCCCACCCCTCCCCCAGGAAATAGATCTCAATACCCCAGCCAAGACAAGGACTTTCCCCAGCAGTCTAGCAGCCCCCCTTCACCTCAATCTAGAACTAAGGAATACTTTATTTGAGCCCCGACCTCTGACCCAAAAAAAAAAAAAGAAAGAAAAGAAAACACAAAAAGCAGAACAGAAAGAGGCACTGCACACCATATATCGATTGTACCGCCAGAAACCCACTGAATATACCCATTTCTGATCCCACAGCTGCTCCGCAACTTCAGCTCCCCGATGAGCGCGATGGCCGCCAGTCGCTGCCCCACCCCCTTCGCCTTCCCCTTCTCGCCCCTCGGCCTCAGCCTCTTCGACATCGATCCGTCCAGAATTCTCAGCCTGCTCCACCACCAGACCTGGCTGGCAGAAGAGGCCCTCAGGTGAGTGATCCAATCTTATAGGTTAAACTAACACATCAATAACAATTGTGCTAATGCAACTAATAAGATACATATTTTAAACCTTAAAAAAAATGCGAAAATTGGTAAAAAAATTAATTTCCATAAAAGTGATCAGGATCGTTAGCATATTAAGCAAGCTGTTCAAAACAGTCGGTCTTTTAGCTGTACGCCTTAATCTGGCTGAGCTACGATGTAAAAACCGAAAAAAATATCGCATTTTTGACAAAAATCTGAATTTCGTATTTTTGACAAAAATCGGAACTCTTTTTTTCACCAAAAAAGTCAGTTTTTTGGCTGCCATAACAAAAGTATAAGTCAGAATGAGGAATGTCATACCTTGTTGAGCTCGTTGTTTAATTTCCAATCGATTGGCATTCTAACCTGAAAATTTTTCATTTTTTGCCATTTTTCGAAAAAATGCGATGAAACCCCTACAAAAATTGCGAAAAGTGGTCAAAAAATAAATTTTCATAAAAGTGATGAGGATCGTTAGCATATTAAGTAAGCTGCTCAAAACAGACGGTCTTTTAGCTGTACGCCTTGAATTGGCTGAACTACGATGAAAAAACCGAAAAAAAATGTCGCATTTTTGGCAAAAATCTGAATTTCGTATTTTTGACAAAAATCGGAACTCTTTTTTTCACCAAAAAAGTTCAGTTTTTTGGCTGCCATAACAAAAGTATAAGTCAGAATGAGGAATGTCATACCTTGTTGAGCTCGTTGTTTAATTTCCAATCGATTGGCATTCTAACCTGAAAATTTTTCATTTTTTGCCATTTTTCGAAAAAATGCGATGAAACCCCTACAAAAAATGAAAAAATTGGTCAAAAAATAAATTTTCCTAAAAATGATGAGGATCGTTAGCATATTAAGCTAGCTGTTCAAAACAGTCGGTCTTTTAGCTGTACGCCTTGATTTGGCTAAACTACGATTGAAAATCCGGAAAGAAAAATCGTACATTTAAATAGATTCTGAATCTGTTGTCCTACGTGACCTTTCTATAAGGCGGTGATACAGTTTTTCCATTCGTTTCTAAGATATAGTTGCATTCTAAAAGTATTTTGAGATAGTTGAATAATGAAATAAGTTAAAAATACAGAGTATTCATGATTTACGTTCCCCGCAGAACTCGTGGGCTGCTGGCGGCGCCCAAGGACTTTCCGCACCGCTTCACCACACTCAGCGACCTGCTGACCAAGGACTACCAGCCGGGTCAGCCGGCGGTCACGGCCACGGCGACGGCGACCACCGCCACACCCTCGACCAGTCGGGGATCCGGATCCGGCGACACTCAGTACAAACACGCACAGCAACCGCAGCAACCTCAGGCGGGCGGAGGAGGAGGAGTTGGGGGTGGTGGCCAGGCGACGGGCGCGACCTTCAACCTTCGCTACCCCACGCCCACCGCCTTTTACCAGCAACAGCAGCAGCAGCAGCAGCAGGGAAAGGGGCTGAAGTCCTCGCCCTCGCCCCAGCAAATGGCCACCAGCTCCACGACGGCCATGTCCAACGATTCCGGCGAGGACAGCTGCAAGAGGAGCTCGGCGGACAGCGACGAGGTGACCATCATGGAGCTGCCCAGCGAACGGAGTGCCCAGCTGTACAAGGAGTCGCTGGAACAGCTCCTGCAGCGCCAGCGTCGCACTCCGATCCTGGCGGGATCGGTTTCGGTATCGGGATCTGGTTCGGGATCAGGATCTGGTTCGGGATCGGGCAGCGTGATCGTCGATGCGGCCGGCTTGAGGCAGTACACCCAACTGCTGTTGGCCGGAGCAGCCGGTGGCAGTGGCAGCTCTGATCTCAAGGAAAAGAGCTCCTCCTCCTCCACATCGTCCACGCCGCCACTGCTCACCCAGCAGCTCAGCCAGATGCTGAAGAGCCCCTCGGACACTTGCTCCTCGCTGTTCAGCTCCTCGGGCGGCGGCGGACCAGGATCAGGAGTCACCCCTGGCGGTGGTGAGACCATCGAGGAGGAGACCCGCTGCGTGGTGTGCAATGCCCACTTCCCAAATGTGTGGCTGCTGGAGCAGCATGCTGCCCTGCAACATCCGCATGTGGGTCCCGGCGAGGAGAAGCCCTTCATTTGCGAGCAGTGCGGACAGTCGTACCGCTACCGCAGCGCCTATGCCAAGCACAAGGAGCAGAATCACCGGGCCCGCCTGCCCGCCGACAAGCTCTTCACCTGCGACGTCTGTGGGATGCAGTTCCGCTACCTGAAGAGCTTCAAGAAGCATCGGCTGAACCATGCCCTCGAGCGCCTTCATGGCAAGAAGAGCGTGGGCGTCATCGGGCGATTGGGAGGAGCTGGAAGTGCAGCCTCTTCGCTTTCCGTCTCGGTGGCAGCGCCCACTTCCGTTTCCGCCTCGGGATCGTCGGTGACGTCGGTGGACCAGGATGTGGTCACCAGCTCGCAGGAGCCCATGCTGGCCGACGAGGGCGAGGATCTGCGGGTGAATGTGAAGCGAGAGGGCGGAGCCTGCGCCGACGAGCAGGCAACCGAATCGGGCAGCGGCCGGGCCACCAACGACATCGAGGAGCACGAGCAGGACAACACCATCGACTCCGCCGGCATCACGATGCTCTACCAGGACAACAACTCCTCGGCCTCGGCCTCCACCAGCGCCACCGAGCCGAACATCAGCAGCTCCGACGGCATTCATAGTACAAACAAGCGGGTGAGTGTTTTGAATATATATATTTATATCTCATCGTATCCTACCTTCTTAAACTATAAAGTCTGGGAAATTATACCCACTATTTAAAAAAAAATACTTTAGTTATATGTAACTGCTTATAAACAATTTAAGATTGTGTTAGAAAACTATAGAGATGTTGTAGATTAACAGAGCTTTTGACTCAGCAGAGAAATAATATAAGAAAAACCAAAAGAGATTTCCTTTTATAAAAGAAGACTGATTAAAACGACTTCTCTTAAGAATTAAATAACTAATACATATATTAAATTATACATTTTTAAACTGCTTTAAATAAAAAGAAGGAAATCTAGAATATAGGAAAACCACATTAAACAATATCTTAAAATACAAAAATCTAGAAGAAAGTTAGCACATTTTTGGAACGTGTTAATATGATAGATCACTTAATTCAAAAGTATAATATCTTATAAAAAGAACTAATTTATTTTTATTAAATTTACTTTCAATAAAAGGAAGCCATTCTCATACCAACTTAAGGTTTAGCCTTATTAATTACCCATCTATAAAAATCGATTTTCCAATATAATCATTATATAATCTAAATTCCGAAATACCTTATCTTGCAGTCGCGTCTGCACCACTTGGAAACGGATCCCTCCTACCCACACCACCACCACCACCACCATCATCACCACCCGCATCCGCATCAGCACCACAATCCGCAGTCGCAGCTGCCGAGCCACTTGGGCCACGTCTCACTGCCACTGGTGGCCACCTCGGCCGCTGGCTCCTCATCCTCGGCTGCTGCTGCTGCCGCCGTGGCCGCTGCCACCGCAGCCGCTGCCCAGGCGCAGGTCAATTCCGGCGGAACCGGAAGCGGTGTGACCGGAAGTGGCGGCGGTGGAGCAGCGGGCGCTTCCGCCTCCAGCGGCGGCGGTGGCATCAGCTCACTCAGCTCGCTCACCTCGCTGATCAACGCCGAGCGCATTCCCAACGAGCAGTTCCTGGGACTCAATCCCCAGGAGGCCTCCATTCTCAACTTCTTGCGCGTCGATGCCGCCGAAAGACAGCGGGACAAGCGGTGAGTCCTTTGATCTTATGATAGAAGTTTGGGTAGAAAAGATTCTGGACATACACTGCGGATAAGTAATTTCAGTATGTTAGAAAAAGAAAAAAATTTGAAATTTTAGAAATTCTAAAAGTTAATAATGGATTATGGGATCTCTTTGATTTGGAAAAGGTTACTTAATATTATTCTTAGATTATTAGTTAGATTTCTATTTTGAAAGAGGATTCTAGACCCACACTGCGGATGAGTAATTTTTCTATTTTAGAAAATAAAAAATTTTAAAAAATATTTAATTCCATAATTGTATAATAATGGATCTTGGGATCTTCTCGTTATAAAAAAGATTATTTCCAAGTTTTTTTTTTCAGATTTCTATGTTAAAAAAAGTTATTAGACCCACACTGCGGATGAGTAATTTTTATTTTTCCACGTAGGAAAGATTTTGTTTTTCTAATAAACATGCTAGGCCCTTGCTAAAAACAAAAAGCATTAGTCCTATATATTCGTTTACTAAAAATCCTAGCTTATTAAAAAATTATAAAGGAATTTAAAAATTTTTGGTTTTGTTTTTTCGGTTTCTTAGCAGCTAAGATAAAAAAAAAATAATTCAAAGCAATATAATTTACTTAGAGCACTTAGAATACATTTAAATAATCCTAGCTTATTAAAAAATTATAAAGGGATCTCTGATAATTTAAAAATTTTTGGGTTTTGTTTTTTCGGTTTTTAAGCAGCTAAGATAAAAATAAAAAAAAATAATTCAAAGCAATATCATTTACTTAGAGTACTTAGAATAAATTTTAATAATTTTAACTTGCCTTTCCGTAGTAGTAGTCAAGATTAAAAAGTGATTGAAATCATTTTCCATGGCAAGGCCTGTCCTCAATATACCTAAAATAAATGTTAATGATTTTAATATGAGTATTATTACTTTTTTGTTAAATAAACCATGACTAATTGGCTGAGTTTTCCCCTTGCAGGCCTGCCACCTCGCGGTTCGCGTGCCCCTTCTGCGGCAAGTGCGTGCGCTCCAAGGAGAACCTGAAGCTGCACGTGCGCAAGCACACCGGCGAAAGGCCGTTCGTGTGCCTCTTCTGCGGACGGGCTTTCGGGGGCAAGTCGGACCTCACCCGCCACCTGAGGATCCACACCGGCGAGCGGCCGTACCACTGCGAGTCCTGCGGCAAGTGCTTCGCGCGGGCGGACTACCTGTCGAAGCACCTGACCACCCACATCCACAATGCGCCGCGCTGAGATGAGGCGCGTAGGAGACGGCTCCTACGCAGATAAGGAACCAGCTCCAGGATCAGCCTCTACACACCGCCACACACCGCCACACACACCCCCACATACCACACAGAATACAGGATACAATGAAGCCTATGTATAAATCCTATTATTACCAGAAGCTCTACGATTAGATCAATGTAAACACATTTTTTCGCCAGAGTTCTATACTTTTTTTTTTTTTTTTTTTGGTGCAAGCTAGTGAAAAACAAGAAAATTACGGGCAACTAATTAGCACGGGTATTAAAGTGTTTAAGATTCTGAATATATACACCTATCTCTCTAAATATATAAATATTATGTGTGAGTTAGGATTACGAATATGAAATCATCGTAGGCACACGATTACGTTTTTCTACAACCTATGATTAAGTGCTGAAATGGGAACGAAATGCGATTTGGTTCTGTAAGACAACCTTATTTCTAAACACATTAACGAAAGAAACACAGCCACAAACAAATAGCAACATAAATTGCAATAGCAATAAACAAAATAGTCTGTATTTTCTACCGAAACTACCGAAACAAAAAACGAGGGGCATATGTACCACACACACATTGTACCGCAAGATCTGCCGTTGATATACACAATAGATAAAATATATTTAATTTTACACCGATCTATAGAAGCTAAACTAGCAACAATTTGTACAAACAAACATGAAATAAGCGAGAGGAAACTAACTTTGCAAGAATCAATGCAATAACTGAGAAAACTCTGTTACCTACCACAGAAAACAATAAGCTAATTGGGATTTTAGTTAATCGTAGTGCAGCAACTGTACGAAAACTAAGCCAACCAACCAACCACTAAATGTAAAAACAATGTTTCAAAAGATGCAAGCATTACTTATTCTTCGGTTGACCGATCTACAAATATGTTCAGGGGGTAAGTCGAAGTTGGTTTCTAGGATTATTGTAAAAGCTAGGAGATACTAATGGGATCTACCACCGTCAATAGTTTAATTTATATACAAAGCAAGCGAAGCAAAGCAAGGCAAATCATAACTAAAAAACAAACATAGCAACAATTAACAATTACCAATAGCAATTACAATTAAAACTGCAACTACAACAACACAAAACTAACTGTGATCACAACAAGAAAACAACATTGAAGTTTTAACTAACCTACAAAACAAGCTGAACAGGCAAGAATAGTTTATAGCGATGGCAACCATGGCAAGCAATAGAGAAATTGAACGGTGATGGCAACCCTGCTGCCGCACCGTTCGTCCGCTGGAAACGAAATGTGCAATTAAACAATAAAAACAATAAAATAGGGAAAGCCCATAGGTCAAACATGATTTCTCAACCGATATTTGCTTCATTTACCTTAGTTCAACACAGCACACAGAGAAAATTAAAAGAAATTTTAAGGATAGACAAAAAAAACAAACCACAACCTTGAACCAAGAACATCGAATTAAAGTGTAAATGAAAATCCAAAAAAACCGAAAGAATTCAAATTGCGTAGAATGGGGAGTAGAATGAATAGTTTTTTGTATTAACTAAATGTCTAACGCACTAAGGAGAATATTTGCCGTACCAAAAAAGTGGAAAGTAAAACAAAAAATGAGAACAAATCAAAGTAAAGTGGTAGAAGTAAAGTAAATGAAAACTTTCACTGTGCCAAAAAGTTTCAAGTACCTCATAATTTAACTAAATATTAAAGAGAAGCAACTAACCACACCGAAAACAGCCCACAAAATCCACGAGCAGTCCACACACACACACGATCCACACGCCCCCAAAAAATAAATATATATATCCCGTAACGAAATGAGTCTAGACAGGAAATGTCAAAGCGTATAATTACATAGAAGCTGAAAGCTGAAAGCGAAGCGTTAACTAATCCTAATTTACCAACCGGAGAGGGCTAGAGAATAGTTAGTTAGATAGAGATAGGGATAGAGCTAGAGATAGGGACAGCGATAGGGACAGAGAGAGAGATGGCAATAGCGTTAACGAAGGCGACAGCGAGAGAGAGAGAGAAGGGAAGTCAGCGCATGGGGAGATCTACCATCCACCGGGGATCCCCATATCGTATGGTGAGATCCCCGATTTTCGATTATATTTTGTAATTTATTTATTCTCCAGCAACACAGTTCTGCCTACAATTTCTCTCCAAACTTAAGTGTTCAATTTTAGCGAATATATATTTGCCTTGAGAATATATATATGTACCTATGTTATGTGATAGTTTAACGAATTAACCGCACCCCTTGAGTTATGCCTTCTAGATACAGCATACATTTTGCCTATCCACATTATGTTTTTATTGTAAAGAAAAGACAACAACAAATCGTTTTTTTTAACCCGATTCGTTAGTTTTTCATTTTCGATTGTGTCAGTATGTGAACCGTCAAAGATCAGGGCCTCTAGCAAATGTTATAGTTTTAGTTCATTATTATTATCAATCCGAAGTGAATTTTTGAGTGGAACTAATTATAGGTTTCTCGATTTCTTCTTTGATTACTATATTTATTTTCTAACAACATGCTACTGCAACAACAAACAAAAATCAACAACACTGCCTTTTGTAAAACACACAAAAACCAGCAAGTATAATGCAAAATTTGTAATCTTACTATTTTAAGTTACTCTTTTTTTTGTACCATACCTATTAATTTTTGTATGTAAACATCACAAATGCCGAAATCTTTTTGAGAAACTCTGTTTAATTTTTTTAATTATTCAATCTCTAATTTAAGTTTTTAAGCAGAACAACAACAACAATAAGCTGTGAGCTGTGTATGTGAATGAATTATTTGTGTAACTATTATTACAATTATGACACTCTTGATTATTATGATTTTTTTGGAAACCCTTATTATTTTGGAATTATTATTTGATAGTATTTATTAATAAAGTTTTTTGCAATGAACACTGCTTTTGTTTGACCATCTCGGGCACATCCGTCGATACGAAACCATCCGTCGATTTTCACTTTCAGTTAACCCATTATATTTTGTGTTTATAGTTGAAAATGCGCCTTAAAAGAATTTTAGGAAACTAAGGTAAGAAACGTGGAGAAAATAAACAAAAAACGTGTCATTGATACTCCATTTCGGTAAGATACGACAAAATTTAATGTAATTAAGGAACCCAAAAAGGAAAGCAATATTAACAAAATTAAAGAAACCCCTAAAATTAAAGTAATTTTTTCTTAGGTGTGTGTGCAAATAAATGTTAATAAAAAACAAAAGGAAAAAGAAAAAAGAAAAACTATGAAATACAAAATAATCACCATCAAAATTAAGGCGAAATTTAATTGAATAGAGTACTGGAATTTTTTTGTGAGCGTGCTAAGCGGAGAGGAGCAAAATTGATTTTAAGCCAAAAATTGGAGGGATTCAAGACTCTTATTTCGTATATACATACATATACCTATATTACAAATTTACCACGTAGGCAGTTTTTTTAAGGCATTGACAAACATGCAGGAAAATACGTGTAACAGAAAATTACATTACAAAATTCAACAACGAAAACTTTTGGCATTAACAATTAATGCATTTTTAAATACAATATTTATTGATATACCTAGAATTAAAGCCCAGCAACAACAACCAGGCGATTGCGGAAGCGGAAGCGGAAGTAAAATCCAAATAAGACGGAAACGGAAATGGAAAAATAAAAATGAAAGGAATCCAAATATTATACATAGAATATATCTATATACAGATACATAAATGTACACGTGGTTTTCGGTGTCTATTACTTATATAAATAGATATATATACATACATTATATACATACATTATATTATACACATGACGTGCATATTTTGAAACAAAAAACAAGAACCCACAAAAGCCCAAAAAAAGTAAATATAAATGTTGTTCATTTGACTAATACGCGAAAGCAACTCAACCAAACAAAAAAATATATACTAGCATATATTAAAACTAATGGTATTCCACTCCCACACGTACACTCACCACCGGGGACACCCAAAACGGGGTGATCTATAGATCTTGGGTATACCTCACCAAACTCACAAGTTTCATGATTTTTCATCATATTATTTCGATGACCTAGAGTTCGTACATTGTATTATATGGTATAATATTTATCCTGCCGGAATTAGCATAATTAACAACAAAGTCCTAGTATCTCAAGCTTTATTAATCTATTTTCAACCGTCATCATCAGTCACTTGACCTTGGGTGTCCCCAAATCATTTAGCAAATACATGGAAGTTTTAATGTAATAATGCAATTTAACAAAATAAAACTACGATTTCATGAAATTAAGACAATTTCGAGGTTTCACTTGCAAAAAAAGAAAAGGCATAACCATATAACAATGTTCTATATTGTAGTCAAAATCATTTTAATCAGTTTTGGTTACACTTTGATTTCGTGTTGAGCAAAGACAAGGAAAGGAATACGAGAATTGCGTTATGATGAAAAAAACAATTTTAACTTGTCTAAAACCAATTAAATTGTTAACAGCAACTAACTCATGTATGTAAATACATTAAATGGATACCATCTCAAAAACCAACAAAATATACAAAAAAAAAAAGAAAGACAAAAAACAAAGACGATTGCGAAAACCAAAAAAGCAGAAGCATAATAAACATAAAATGTAGTACATGCAATATATTTTTCGGTGTTAGGCGTCTTTTTGAGATTTTTACAGAATACCAAACAAAAGTCCCTCAAATAAAGTCTATAAAGTATAATATTTCATTGTTGATGTTGTGAGCAAACTAAAGTAAACTAAAGCAAACTAAAGTAAATTGTATTTATTTCTCCTACTCTCTCAACAGTCTCTCTCACCTAAGCTCTAAACTTTAGCTGTCGTGTCTCTTTAAATATTTATAGGGGTTTACATAAGTCTTAGGAGACGCGGAAACAGTGGAAAATGTTTCAAACATTTTTTTTTTATATATACATAAACAAGAGATTCGGTGTCTACAAATTATACGAAACTTAAGATGCAACTAAGAAAACATTTTTAGATCAAATTCGAGTGGTTAAACGAAGGGATGAGAGCGGGGAGAAAAGCTGGAGTGGCAATTCGGAAAGGGGGAGGAAATACTTAGCAATAATTCTGAAATGACCTCAATCAAATATTTTTTAAATTTTATATATTTTAGTCGTGCGAAAAGAAAACTCAAATGTGTAAATAAAACTTTAAATACATACAAAATCGAAATAGCAAAATAAACAAAATGTAAAACAAAAACCAAAAAACCTAAAAACCAAAAAAAAAAAAACACATAAAAATGTCTCTCGAACGAACGAAGAAAGAATGTGATATTTTTCTAAGGTGTACTACAAAACAAAATGATGAAAAACAAATAAGAAAACAAAAATCAAAGATGCAAAATTCTAATAAAATATTTAACACTTTTACTGAGAACCAGAAATAGAGCAAGCCCACATAAAATAGAACAAATTGCAATAGAGACTGATTTTTGACATCATCTCATCGACATCACCACCAATAAAAACACGAACATTGTCATTAGATCAGATCAGTGGATGCAGAAAACCCAAGGAACTTTCACTGCAGTTACAGTTTTAAATAGAAAATACTGGAAATGTGGGTGGGTAAGATTTGGGGAGTTGTTAAAAGTGATTTGAAGACTCTTTTTGTTTAAAATTTCAAATAATATGAAATGGCCTGGAAACGTGCCTAAAAGTATGCAAGTGAAATATTTCACAGCATACTTTTAGGTGCCTCTTTGGGTTAAATCAAATCTTCAGAGATTTTAAATCACAAGAGAACTAGAATCACTTGGTATATAACGAATCAATGAGAATTGATATTAATTTCCCTGTTTTAGTTTCCGATTTTAGCCTTTTTTGAGCTATTCGATTGCACAGTGGGTGAGGGAAATGGAGAGAGTAAGAGAAAATATGGGTGTGAAAGGTATGGAATTAATGGAACCAATTCGGGACGCATCTCGTCCAGGTTAAGGTTTACAGATGGGACTTAGAAGCAATGTTAGTTTAGGCGTGGCAAGGTGAGGCAAGCAGGTGGAGTTGGGTGCATTCGCACAGAGTTGTAATTATTTTTGTGATAAAATCCGAAGCGCAATTTTTTTCTCCAACTGTATGGTAGGTTAGAGGTCTGTACATAGGCGGGGCTAAGAGGGATCGATTGGCGGAGGGTGAGGTGAGAGTATGTTTATGAAGGTGCTACGAACAAAGACGTAATTGAAAATGTGATACAGTTTTTTCCTTAACCTATTTATTGAGCGGTACGCAGAGCAGGGGACAAGAACGGAAGCGGAAACGGTAACGGAACGGGAACGGGAAACGAAAGCGGAAACGGAAAAGGGTGAGGTCGCGGAAGCGGAAGGAGCTTAGCAATATGCTTTACAAGCAAACAGACTTTTATTCAACATTTTTAATGGTTTTTATATGGGAAATATGAAGAGAAAGTTTTACTTTCGGTTCTTTTCAACCTTCTTTCAGTTGACACAGGAAAATGAGACACCACAAAAAAACAAAAAAACGCATCCGCAACCACAACAAAAACCACAGCAGAAAAAGGCCAGAAGAGATAATTGGGGAAATTGTAAAAAATTTACACTTTAGGAAAATCTCTAAATTTTAAGCTTTCGGTGTTTTTAAACCAAAAAAAAATAAAACTAACAAAAAAATACAATAAACAATGGCAAAACGTAAAAATTAAACGACAACCAAAAAAAAAAAAATTAGCGAAAACACACGAAAAATTTATATATATATATATTTCGATATTTAAAACTTCATTCGGAAAGAAAAGCAAACATTAAAAATTTTGAGCAAACTCTCGGTGTTTTAAAATTAAGCGCATGCAAAACCACATTACACTAAACAATTAACTAAACCCAGAGTAAACAAAATAATAAGTTAAGCAAACAGACGTAAACCAAAAACAAAAACCTCTTTCACTTTCGTGTCTTTGACTTAAAACCAAAAACTAAAGCGTCAAAATAAGCAGACAAAAAACCAAAAACAAAAAATATTAAGCATATTTTTAAAATGTAATTTAGCACAAAAACGAAAACAAAAAAAAACAAAGCGAAAACGCAGAAAAGAAAACACAATTTTTAAACTACCAACGTATTGATGTGTATTTGATAAACCAAATCGAAATTGTAATGAAATGAACAGACAGAAATGCGAAACCAAAATAATTGAAACGGAACTAAGCAAATTAGAAGAACGACTTGTTTTCACATCTCTCAGATATTTATTATCTTGCGTTTTTCGGTTTCAAATTCGAATCTTGCGTTGAGAACGATTAAGAAAGAGAACTTTTACAAAACTACGAAATGCAATGCCTGCCAAAGAATTAATGTTTTTAATGCGAAATGCAAAGGAAAACGAAAACGACAAACAAATATTACTTATATGCAACCAAACAACAACAAACAAAAGTTCAATAAAGCCGTTCCAATAAAATGAAACCAAATGAAAACTGAGAACAAAACAAGCAACAAAAATCAAACTTGTTCGGAGATCTTTTGCGTTTCCTTATACAAGACATTTACGACGACTAAAAAAACTAGATCCAAGAAAAAATCTACTGAAAGACGAACCTTTTTTTTGCAACTAACTTGAAGAATGCAAAAATGTAAGGAGAAAAACATAACTATTTGTCGTGTACAAGTACTTATTTGTATTTAACTAATAAAGTGAAATGTTTATTGGTTTATTTTTAAAACAAAACACCACCATTTTTATGCATTACATTATAAAAAGAAACAACAAGCAAATAAAATAAATTACAAAAAGTTTTATGTGTTCTGTTTTAATATTTTAGGGACTTTAAAATGGTAAAGCCTTTATTAAAATAGTGGCTTACGTTTATTTGGGTTAGGTTAGTAAAAAAAAAGTTTGCCTAGCCAGGCTTAATTGTTAAATATACCCAAAATTTAAACTTTCTAGATTTCGAATTACAAACTTTAAAGCTTTTTGGCGCGCGAGTTTCAGGACTTTACCAGAACCAGATCCTTCAAGCACAACTTTTGATCCTTTATTTTTGAATTTCAAAATACAACCGTATGTATATTAACGGCCCATTTTCAAGTGAAAGCATATGAAGCTTTTCATCTATCTGGCCAGCAACCGTAAAGCTTTCCCCGTCATTTTGACATTTTTTAGGATATTTCTTGGCGCTCCACCTGTGGTCACACTGCGCGCTGGTTCGGAACTTCAGTCGCAAAAAAAAATTCGCACCGACCAGAAGCTTTTTGCAACCTTTTTTCCGTTTTAATCGCACACGATATAGCAGTATTATTGTTGTTACCACCGTTTGTTGTGGTTGTTGTTTGCATTTTTTTTTTTTACTGTGTTTTACAATCCGAGTGTTAAGAACCCAAAAGACTAGAAAATAGAGATAGAGAGTTGGAGAGCAAGAGACTCTAGAAGTGACAGCGTGTTATTGTGTGTGTTTTACCCACTGACTTACCGGGATCCATCCCGAAGGTTCCGAAAGACACTTCTCGAAGTCCTTTTTTCGACCGGAAGAGGAGCAGGTCCTTCGGCCAAGGACACCAAGGACTCCAGGGACCCGGAGAACGCCGGGAAATGCAGAGCTACGCGGATGCACTGAGTGCCAAGGGGTATCGCAGCTTCGGGTTCGACACCGACATGGAAATGGACATGGACATGGGATGCACGATGCGGCGCATCGAGAAGCGCAAAGGCGGTGAGTGTGTCATTGTGGGCGTGGACGTGGGAGTGGGCGTGGGCGGGGCAGAGGCGTGTGTGCGTGCAGAGGGCAGGGACGTGGTCAGAAAATCCTCAGGGGGATTTTCTCGAAAGTTTTTATTAATCGATATTTAAGAACGAATAAATCCTTACTCTCTTATTTTTTTTTAACATTTTAACATTAAGAAAATAAAGTACAACTTAAAATAAATAAAATAATATTGTTCTAGTTTTAGTTTTATTAGGTTCGAATACCACATATGTATCCTTTCGAAACATTTTTTATAATTGTCTTATTCAAAGAACTTTAGATTTCTATCCAGTAAAATTATAGATTTAAAATAAATAAAATGATATTGTTCTAGTTTTAGTTTTATTTGCTTCGTATACCACTAATGTATCCTTCCAAAAAATATTGTATAATAGTCTTATCCAAAGATCTTTTGTTTTCTATCTTGTGGTATTATAACTTGAATTCAATTTAAATCATAGGTCGTTTTATTTATGACTAGCTAAATATTGTGGTTGTTTTGAATCGGTATATTGTGGCTTCAAATGCACCCATATTGAACTTTCTGTTGTTCAATTTCAAGAAAATTTTATTGCATATTGCTTAAAGGTAAACAAATTGATTACCAATTAAAGAAAACAAAATTTATTTCCTTTTCCTACATTTTGTACATCAATAATTGGCTAATCCAGTGGAGTAAACCTATTTTCAAAGAGAGGGGTTTTACAAAAAATCTTTTTAAATATTTTGAAACTTTGGTATTCCAATTCTTTGAAGTTCTATAAACCTACATTTTCCAAATCGATAGAACTGCATGTTCTTGTAATATTTCGTTTTAAAGTGCTTGTTTTTTTCAATTGTGCTGTAAAAAATCCATCTCTATTGGAAGAAGGAACCTTAAAAACAGGTTATGGTGAGAGTACTGAACAACCTCTCATGGTGGGGGCTCTGACCCCCCTTGAGTACGCCCCTGCCTGCGTGTGTGCGTGAAATGTATACCGATGTGTGGGTATGTGGGATGCATTGACTTTTGCGCCTTCGTTCACTTCGTTTACTGGTCATCGCCGTGAAATATTTCCACTTCCACGTCGAAAGAAACACACACCGAGTGCATGTGTGTGGGTGCTGGTGTGCCTGTGTGGGGGTAATGACGTGCAATTATTATAATCAGAGGCGTGCTAGTAACTGTGCATAAATTATCTGGATAAGGTACAATAGTTCCTTAGTTCCTCGCCCGATGGCGATGTTAATGCCATGTTGATGATGATTATGGAGATGGAGATGGAGGTTCCTTTGATGACGACTTCCAACGCCTGTCCTTCAATTATCTCAGCTCGCCCTTACCTTCCCACACCATTAACATGGAAAGCTGGGATGTACTATGCATATAGTGGACCTCAGATGACGTCATTCCAGTTTCGATTTTTACTTTTTGTTGGATCACATGTTCCAGCCAAGAAAAGATGGTAATAAATCTTCTTAAATGGCCAGAACCACTGGCTTGCATTTATACAAATATATACCCATTTATTCCAACTTTTGATTAATGTAGCTCTGTTTGTATTCCTTTTTTCTTGGATTATAATGTGAGTTAGGGAACCCAAGATGAATGCCTCTGGCGTATGCAACATATTTCGTAAGAGGAACATATTTCTTAAACATTTATATTAGTTGTTTTCTTCCTATATGTATTGTTCTCTTTACTACGTCTTACATTGTCTTACTTTCTGTGTAATTTTACCTGATTTATCTGCTATTGTCGTGTCTAAGCTTAAGTATTTCCCAGTTTAATTGTTCCCATTCTATATTTTTTATTTGCTTTTTCATTACTTTTATGCTTTGTGGGTACTGCTTTTTTAGTGGCTTGCTTGTTTAGTTCGCATTTTTGCGTTTCTGTTGATGCAGCAAACAAACGCAATGGGAAAAACCAACAGCAAATACGAAACCATTTAGGAAATTGGTTAAACATGAGGCGAACTCATGCGAAGGCAGGGAGAGACACACTTATATTTATGGGCCAGCCTGTACTGTACTGTATGTGGGCCAATTAGCCGCTGCTGTTTGCCCTGAGTCATCGCCAGAAGGTTCTGAAAAGAAGAAGGTGGGTGCTCAGATGATGGTTCTAGGGTTCTTGGGTTCTTGGGACCCAACATGAAAGACCCCCAAGTCCAACTCCATGTTAATTGTGCAGTCCAGCGCCTTTAATCTAATCTAGTGCATGGCAAAGCGGATTTATGGTTTTCCCAGCTGAATTTATGAAGGCCTCGAACTCCACGTGGCCATTCAGTGCACAAAAAGGCATTATTTCAAGTACAAGCTGGCAAAATAAAAATAAAGAACCCATCAAAAAATGCTGATATCTATAATATAATACAAGAGGTTTATTTTGAGATTTTTATTTTTTAAAAATAATCAGTAATCCTAAAATATTTCGACCATTTCTTGTTATTCTTTTATCAGCAGCTGTGATAATACTGTTTTTGTGCACTGTAAAAAATATTTAATGACTCTCTAAGTTCTCTACTTATTCATAGCATAGTAGTGAATCCTATTTAAATAATTTTGCAACTATCTTTCCATACGTGAGATATATAATTTGGTGTTTAAATTGTTTGTTCCTAGAATCCGCTTGTTAATAGACTTGATTGTCAGAACAATATGGAACTTAAATTTCCGTGTGCGCCGCAGCACACTCCTCTTATCGGTCTATAAATACACTCCGTGAATAACAACATCCAAAATTTGAGTGCGAAGTACAAACGTGCATTATTATTCACAGTTCGTGGGAATTGGGCCCAGCTCTATTATCTACTTTCTGGCCATCTAGGGCCTCATATCCCATCCAATACTTATATCATCATCCACTCAATTGGGGCAGTCGTTCGGTTGACATGTGTCCGCCGCTTATGGGAAATGTGCTGTGTTCAATCAACTGGGTAAACTAAAGAGCCATCCACACATCGAATCAAAAATAATTGATTTCGATTGTCAAATGTTTGCATGTTTTGGCAAATCGTTAGTAGACCTATTATAAGTAGTTTGGGATGTAAAACATGTACTAAGTGGTACAGTACATGCAAAAAAAAACTTTTGGGTAAAATTTACCATTATAATAGTTAGGATTGTTAATATGACCAATGAAATAGTTACCCTCACAGCAAGAAAATACACATAACTTATTATTTTATGGTATTTTTACCACTAAATACCTATTATATGTAGTTTGGGAAATAAATCATGTACTAAGTGGTACAGTACATCCAAAAACAATCTTTAAGGTTCAATTTACCATTACAATAGTTAGGATTGTTAATATGACCAATGAAATAGTTACCCTCACAGCAAGAAAATACACATATCTTATTATTTTATGGTAGTTTTACCACTAAATAGTAACCAAAGCAACAATAAATATTTTTAATAGCTGTTAACCTTTTTTTAGAGTTTTTTTTTTGTGGTAAGCCAACTAAATTTTAAATGACTATGAGTTGGTGCTATTTTATTGGCCCCCACTGTGCCCCACGACAGCTGGCTTCTGTCCATCGTAGGCATAGGTCAGGGTTTTCCAATTAGAAACAAATAATAAAAAAAAGGCGGGCGGCGGCGACGAAAAGAAAACAATAGAGTATTTCCCACACAATTTTCTCATACCCCTTGGATATTGTTTAAGCCCCTAAATGATTTATTTGTGATTCCGTGCCGGCAGTTCTCTTGGTTAATTTTGCGCTCTTTTTGCTCAGAAACTCAAGCTCTTTTCCCACTGGCTTTTCTCTTTCATTTCCCAATGAAATCGAGACTGACTGCAGATAGTCATGCCAAATCAACTGTTTATATCCATAGCTTATTATTACATATGAGTAAGGAAAAAATGAGTGGAAAATCAGAGTCAGTTGGCTGCGCGAAGTCGAATCGAGCGGAAAGTCGAATTTTTATATCCCTGAGATATTACGCAAGTCACGGCGGAAAGTTTCCCATATTTTCATGTGAAAATCAATAGCGAATCATGGCGGGCAAAGTGCCCAAAACACAAGAAAAGGCCAAACGCAGCGATTAATAAGTTCGCAATTCGGTCAATAAATACATAACAAAGAGCGGTGCCAAAAATACAACGAAATAAAATGTAACAAGCTTAAGCACAATCGAATAATAAATTGAGACGTACGGCAGATAAACAAAAACACACACATATATTCGGGTCTATAGGAATGCCCATCTTTCTATATATATATTTTTTTTTAATATACATAGTATATGACTGTTTGCATTTCGCATACAACTCGGCAAACAAGGCAAATGAACTGACAATGACTTGCAGTCGTCGCAGAAAATGCTCGTACCATATCTAGCCAAACAAATCGATTGGATTGGATTGGATTGGATTGGATTGGTCTATGAAGCTATCAAAACAGCCCATGGGTTATTATCGACCCAGCGCTAACCACCGATGATCCAATTTTGGCTCTCATCTGGGGTCTATTGATAAACCCGACCATTTGCTAAGTGCCCACGAAGGGGTGTTAAACAAATCGAGACGAGCCCTCCTAATAGAGGAAAGTTACCAGTCTGGGAATATATTTGGAAACTATAAACCCAAGTGTGGTATCAAGAAAGGGGCCTTGTCATCGTTATCAGTTGGTATACCCATCAGAACATTACCAAAAATTGTCATTAAATTGTTGTTCTACACAATCATACAACTGTCTTATCAATCATAATCGATTAATGTAATCAAATATAGTTTTTTGATAGTTAAAAGTTATGTAAATACAATATTCGATTTTTTACGACGCACTTAAGACCAAAATAATTGTCCGATCGATATGAATAGTATGTATATGTATAGTATAATATTCAAACCAATAAATCACTAATCCTTACCGATTACACATAAAAACAGAAACGTACTGTAATATCTCAAAATCTTGATATTATATGGGAGATATAAGTGCTGCAAAATTTAACAAGAGCATTTATTTTCCCATTTCCTCTTACAAATCCAAGCGGGCATCCAAAATATCTATGTATAACCGTACTTTATAAAAAATAAGTGTTTCGGAGCACTATATAATTTTAAAATCTGCCGAGCAGAAGAACTTAGAGTAGAACATAATGCCACACTTTCCTACGTTTTGATTGAAATGTCTGATGCCTTACCATTGGGTTCAAAGAGCTTTGATCTCGAGAACCTCCCCCCTCCGTAACTCCCCATAACTTGGCCATATGCAGTTTGTTTATCCAAAATATTGTTTATAATTAGCAAACATTGTGGGCTTTCCAAGCTTTTCATTTGTGGCGTTGCGAGCACTGAAAGCTCCCTCCCAACTTTACCCCATATATAAACTTTGGATCCGCTGAGATCGGGAGAGGTGTGAAAAACATATGTATATATCTATATAGAGAGAGGAAGAGGCGGAAAGAGAGAGAAAGCAGGGGAAAAGCGGAGACGGAGACGGAGACAAACAAAGGCGAAAGACAAGCGCGTAGGAGATGCGCGAATTGCGTCGGACGGAATTCAAACTAAATTAAGTGCAGCCGATCGCGAGTATATATCCCGCCGATCCGAACCGACAGTTGTCCCAAGACGTTGCCCAGAGAGCAGCAGAATCTCGAGCAGAGCGGCGACACCTGTCACCGGGAAAATTACATAAAAAACACACACAAAATATACCCCCACAGGCCGGAAAGTCGAAAATTCCGATAGTAAACACAGGAGAAAAAACGGAAAATTGACCAACTACATCATCATAAAGAAGTACTGGACTAGAAGAGAGCACATAAATAAGGATTAGGATCCCCAGGATCCAGAATCGGCGAGATGTCGTACCGCGGAATGTTGAGCACCTCGGATGGTTCGTCCGTGGAGATGCGAGTGCAGGATGCGGACTCCTTTGACGGAGCGTTGATGTCGCACCCATCCTCCAAGAAGACCGGCGGAAAGGCCCTCAACGCCTCCACCTCCATGTCCCTGCCCCAAAAGCAGATGCCCCCAAGGGCCACCCCCAACCGCTGCCCATGTAAGTGAATGAATGCACCAAATGCAACCCCCCAACGACCTTTGACCAAGGGAGAAAACACACCTAGTTGGTCAAAAACATGTCTTATATTTTATTATATTAATAAAAAGACTATTTTTTACTGCCATAGGAATAAAACACATCTACCGAATTGGTCAAAAACCTCTTAAACCAAAAGAAAGCAGTTACATATGGACTTATAGTTATAAAAAGCCTCTATAAGGTCACTTCTTTTATAGAACCTGATTAATGAGTCGTGCTTAAATGCGAAACACTAATGCTATGCAAAAATATACGTATGTATATTTGTTTTAAAAACCAAAATTATATTAATTTTTGTGACATTTTGGAACTTAAGTACATATATAGTGCTGCGTTTGGTTCTCTGCACCCACTGATCACACTCCACTCTCTCTTTTTCTAAATCTTTCTCTTCTCTGCTGCAAAAAGAAAGCCAAAGACATTCACTCTCCCACGCACACAGTAGAGCACTATCACTCAAAAAAAAATATAGCTACAAAAGAAATTTAAAAAGTTATAAGTTTAAATTGAACTATAATATTCATTTAATGAAATAATAATCTAATGATTCTATTCTAATTATTATTTAAATATATATGATATTAAAAAAATTTAATTAAAATGTATCATATTATTTGAGATTATTTAAAGATCTCAAAACGTAGAACTTATCTTTTTATGAATCTATAGCGGCGGATGTAGGATTTTTCACCAGTGTAAGAATAGGGTTTTTTTAAATTCCTACCTTATACGTATTTTAGTTTACAATGCTTGCATATGTAAATTGCATTTAAATAATATTCCTTTTTTTTTGTAGAAAATACTACATTAGGTTAAATATTATAAACAACTTATAATTTGTTTCAAAACATAATTTCAGTGTTGCGTTAAACCTCTGCCGCTGCGCTGTCTGTCAGTCGCAACATCTCAAGTCTTCCTAACCCATATAGCGATATAGGAAAGTTATTGTACTCTATAAAGTGGTCGTTCGAAAACCAAGAGCGTTTCGTTCTCAATACTAATATGATACCTGGTCTGCTTAATGAAAATAAATACGGCTAAACTGTATCGTAAACATTTGTTTGGTTGTATCTCAGTTCTTAATGCAATTATAATTAGTTTTTAATTTACACTTAAGATAATTACATGACTTATATGCTCTCCAGCCCCTCTCCTTCGAAAACCAAGAGCGTTTCGTTCTCAATACTAATATGATAACTGGTCTGCTTAATAATAAAAAGGCTAAACCATATCGTAAAAATTTGTTTGATTTTATCTCAGTTCTTAATGCAATTATAATTAGTTTTTAATTTTTACACTTAAGATAATTAAATGACCTCGGCCCCTCGGTTTCTTCTTCTTTTTTTAGAGATAAGTAATTCTTAATGTGTTTGGCCTTGAAGTGTATACCAGCTTCGGATCGCTACAAAAAGTGATCCCATCTTGTTTGTTGTTTGTTGAGTGCGTGTTTTGATTTTGCCAGTATTTTCGCTATCTCCGCTGTCACAGCAAGCAGCCTTCTCCCCCTCTAGATTTTCTACACTAAAAAAAATTATGAAATTATTTTTTTTAACGAAAAAATTGTATTTTTGAAAAGTATTAGACATAAAACTATCAAAACTCTCTATTTTAACCAAGCCTTTTTAATGTTATTTTTAATTTTTTTTTTTACCTGTTTGGAACTTACGGTTCGTATTTAATGGGGATCTTGAATATAACACTTGCTTTAGGGGCTCTAATTTTTTTCTCAGTGCCCTCCTGTCTTTAAACATTTTGTTGCTTGCCAATTTGCAATCGACAATCAATTTTGTTAGGTTGTTTTTCTTGGGGGAAGTTGTTGTTTTTCTCTGCCCCCGTCAAAGATGATGCTCCTCTGCTGCAGTCGCAGTCGCAGTCGCTGCCTCTGCCGGCGTCAGTAGGTCTCGGCCTGGAATTCTCCGATCTTCGATGTTTTCCGATTTCATTGGGGCGACAACTCTCGACCAGGTTACTTCTTAACACCTTGGCGGCGATCCTCAGTTAATCCGGTTTTTCACCTGTATTTTCTACAATGAACTTCAATCGCATGGATACCGCGCATCGGTTACGCGTGGATGTTCGTCTCTATGGAGGACCGATGGGAAATCAGTTGAATGATACAAGCACTGCCACAGTCACGCCCACAATCTCCTCGGACGATCTCAGTAGGTTCTGCACTTTAGGATCCATACAAGATATGATATGATATAGTGGTACCTCGATACTAAGAAAACAGTTCCGAGCTTTCACCCATTTCTCAACCTTCTTGTATTTTGATTCTAATCCCAATGAGTTACTCTTGTTTTTCAGGTGATCTCACTGATTCCCCAGTGGATGAGAAGCCCGAAGCCGATGTGGAGGTGACCAATGAGATCTCGGCTCCATATGAGGTGCCACAATTTCCCATTGAACAGATCGAAAAGAAGCTGCAAATCCAGCGTCATCTCAATGAAAAGTGAGTATACTATAGCTTATAACAATAGATATATATTTTTTAAGAGGAAAAAAATTTTTATAATACTTTGAAAGTGCAATGGAACGATAACAAAAGTCTAGGTCCAAGTTTTTTTTTCAAAATTGTATTGTTTTTAGAAAACACCCGCGTTTTTGTGGCTTATCAGCGAAACTGCGATAGTAAAATTACAAATTGCTCTCTGTTTAAATTTATAAATTATTATAGTTTCACATTTAGTTAATCAGTTATTCATAGGATTTTCAACCTGTCTTACCTCCTCCATTTACAAGTAGTAAAATCATAAGGTTATTAAAAGATGGAACACTACGTTTCGGAAATGTAAGTTTATATAAATGGGGAAATACAATTTTCTTTAAATTACTTGTCGAGAATTTAAAGCTAGACCTAAAAATATATTTGTGACAAATGATAGAAAAAGATAACGAAGTGAAAAATATGTATGTTAAATATTTAAGACAGGGGAACGACGAGATAAAAAAAATAAATAAAAGAGACGAATGTCCCGACTATAAGATACCCATTAAAAATATATTCCCTATTGCCAATTATAAATCAAAAGTTAAAACTATTAAAGAAAAACAAGCTTAGTATTGTTCCCATTGTATTGCTCTAGTAATCAGATCCAAACCTAAATCGGTTCTGCTCCGGCTTGGTTTTGTTTACTTACATGCGAACCAGACAAAAACACGGCGAGTTCACAGATCTCGTGATCGAGCCCTTATCAGCCAGTCTGTTCCAAGGTTAGATGTTTCCGAAGGCCAAAATACCATTCCACTCCGTCGTATTTCTCTAATTCAACAAGCAAATGAAAAATATCACAGAAGCTAAAACATGTTTTCATGTTTTCTTAAGGTTCTTATCTGCAAAATATAAAAACGGACTTAATAATAAATAAAATGTTATCACATTTTTTACTTTTAAATATTCTTCAATTTTTTAGTTTTAGGAAATCAGATAATCAAATTATAAAATATTTTTTTTTTCACAAGAAAATTATTTAAAAAGCTAAAACCATACATATGCTAATATGATTTTTCCTAAAGATCCTTTCATCAACAAATAAAAATGATCTTGATGATAAAACAAATGTTTTTAAATATATTCTTTGATAGTTTCAAATTGTTATTAATTTATATAATCGGATTAACACTAAAACTATTTACTAAAAACTGCTTAATATTACAAAAGCTTAATATATAATTCAGTGCAATTTTCGGGGGGTTCTTACTGCATCAAGTAAAAATAGACTGGATTATAATCAAGTACTATATTAAATTATATAATTACGTATTATTATATTATATTAAATATTTTCTATGATACTATCAAATTGTTATAAATTTAGGTAATTTTTTAAATATGTTATAGTTTTTATCACATGTAGCTTGTCTTGTATTACCACCGTGAGCATTTTGTATAGTTTCCTAATGAGGCAACCGCAGAGCGTACAATTATCAGGCTCCCAGGTGGGCAGTGGGTGGTGTGGGGTATACAGATGGGTGTTTTCCGGCTAATCCAAAGTGGGCTTATGTCTGGGCCAGAGTCCGGGTGTTGGTTTCGGGTTTTTGGCCCGGCGAAAGTGTGGACCGATGCAGAACACGTTTTGATTTTGAATGGAACTGCATTAGGCAGCCGCTGCCTTTGGTGACGGACTTTCGCCCATGCCACCCATACGGAGGTGGTGGTGGTGGTGGGGCTTATGGCATAACGAACCACCATCGCCACCGTCGAGGCAAGAACCACTGTGTCCAACGGTTGAGTTCTGGCGCGGATGCCGTCACTTTCAGTACGCTCCGATCCAATAAACGGGCAGCTTGGCGGCGCGAAACGCGGCCCAAAGTTTCCCACCTGCCCGGGGACTACCTGTGCGACCTCCGCTGACATTGAGCCCTCTTTATAGGGGAGCCACCCATCGAACCGCCGCCCACTGCCCCACTAAAATCCACCATCGTTGTTGTTCGTGTCGCACGCCAGGCGTCGCTCAAAAAAAAAAAATTAGCAAAAAAGAAAAGAAACCAAGAAACGGCGTTGAAAAACTTTCCAACTCGCACGGACACTTCGAGTTTTTGGCTTGAACCGAGAATCCCGACAAGTTCTGCACGCCAATCAAAAATAACAGGGGGCGAAACCGCAGGAGGGGGGGTTTAGCCATACCCAAGATAGTTTCCCAAAACCCAAAGAACTTTCCAAGTTTTGGAGACGCAAAATTTGTAAATCTTAAGCGATTTAAATCTGAAGAAACCTAGCTTTATTTTAAGTGTTTGAGAAAGTTGTTCTTGAAGTGCGAATTCCTAAAAGTTTGAAAGAAGAAGAAGCATATTCTACAAGTCAAATAATTCTATAGATATAAGCCAAGCAAAGCAAAAGTTCTTTAAAGTGAATTGTTTCTTTTTTCATAATTTAATTTATTTAGCCTATACTTAGTTGACTTAATTACTTTAATTTGGCAAAATACTCAATAAAACAACTTTTTCAGAGCTTGCAATAGGCAACTATTAATAGAAATAGCTCTATCCATTGCTGGAATTTGTTTCTGTCAGCCAAGGGACAATCGAACTGTAGTAACTTAATTTTGATAGTTCTTTAAGACACGCAATTTTGTGACCAAAAAAGTAGTTTGTTCCTTACCAAATATGTAAGAAATATGCTGATGGCGTGCCGGACTGCGAATTAGTGGCAATCGGTGGCTTCGCATTGCCATAAATCAACTGGTCAATCGATCATTACCATCTCCGTGCCCAAAGAAGAGGAGTCCCTATCGAAGGGGAAACCCCAAACTGAGTACTCCATTCGCCGGTGGTAACCAGTGGAAGCAGGATGTCCTTTGCGGATGACAGCTATAGTTTTGGACGCTGCTACGAGTATCAGCCCGAGGATTCCAAATGGTCAGCCCAGTAGAAGATCTTAAATTGTGACAAGTGAAATCCAAGTTCTCTGTGATTTAAAGCCTTTTCAAAAGTTTGCAATCTATGATCTGATATAATAAATCATAGGATAAACCATTTACGAAATTAAGTAAGATAAAGAAGATTCTATATATCTTGTGACATCTAAAAAAATATATTAATCATTTTAAAATTGGAAATGCTATTTGTATACTAGGAAGGTTCCAAATGGTCTGCCCAATAGAAGATCTTGAAATGTGAAAAATGAAATCAAAGATTTCTGTGACTTAAAGGATTTTAAAAAGACTCTGATCGATGAATTAGTAATTCATTGGAGAAAAAAGTTATAAAGTAGTGACAAAGTAGTAACAAAGATATAATATTGTCAAATGTTTTTTAATATACTATGTATATGTTACTTTTTAAAGGGGAATGCCGAATGATATGTATGATTTTAAATTCCAATCATATATATATTTATTAAATTCCTAATTTGTTATCTAATCTAAATAATGTTCCTATTTTTAACCCTTTTTCAGGCAGGCTACTGGACCTAGACCCGTGCCCGCTGCCGCCGTGTTGGCCACTCATAGGGAATCATCCAGCAGCAACGAGGACCGCGAGACCACAGTCAACATGGACAGAATCGATGCGGACATCAACTTTCAGCGGGTCTCCATTTCGGGGGAGGACACCAGCGGCGTTCCCCTCGAGGATCTGGAGCGGGCCTCGACCCTGCTGATCGAAGCGCTGCGCCTGCGCAGCCACTACATGGCCATGTCCGATCAGTCGTTTCCCTCGACCACGGCGCGTTTCCTCAAGACGGTGAAGATCAAGGATCGCATCAACAATCTGCCTGCCAAGGAGGTGTCGGGTGAGTAGTTATTAGCCATTAATCCGAAACCCTGTTCCCCCAGAAGAAGAGCTCAAAGTCAGTTCCTGGTCTGTCTTTGTGCTGTGGTACCCTTCATCTTACAATTCAATCAATGGAGTGGTTCGATTTGTTAGAATCTTCTGATTTTATAAAAATAATTCGATAATATATTTGAAAAACTATACAAAAATCGACCCAGCCCACCGTATATGTGTAAATATGTATAGAAGAGCAATTTTGTACAGATGCCCCTAAGTGTTGTGATGCACCGATTCATACATATGTATATTGCGTACGCATATTGCAATTAATTCGCTATCAAGTGAATTATGTATAATACAAGTTGATATTAGCGTGTGTTTTGTGTAAGCTGTACGCGACGGCGTTGCCACCTTGTCTAAGTCCAGAAGTCAGCTAGTGTGTCCGTCTCTTTCTCGCCCACGCCCTAGCAGCTGCCGCCTCGCTCGAGTCTCGCTCCGTTTCGTTTTCATGTCCTCCGTTTATTATTTAGAGCCTTTAACGAGCTACTATTTTTCATTAGAACTTATTCTCATCTGTTACCTACTATGTGTTTGAGCCTTTTTAAACATTTTTTTTAAACTTGATTTTGTATCGACTATTTATTTCACTTCTCGTATTTTTCATTATTTCTTATAGACATCATTCGCAAAATGAGTGTAACGAACATACAAGGTAATTCGTGTGCACACCTGTTTTCCTCCTTTACCTCTTCTTCCTATCCAACATTCCTAACATGTTCGATTCGAATACAATAAGAACAACTCCTTTCCGTTCCGTTCTGCCTGACATTTGATTTCCGTTTAGCAATGCTTCATTCACTCCTAACCTAAAACCTAGAACCACAAACGCTGCTTTCAACGCAGACAGTGTTGCCAACTATCGATTTAGTGTGGTCTTAGTTAAAAATAGAATATGATTTCTAAACAAGTTAATAACCAAATGTTATTCAATATAAATAAATTGCTAAAATTATGTTTATAGTTTTATATTATTTGTTTTGTGCTAAAATCAGACGCTATCATACCTGGATATTGTATAAAAACAGCTATATATATGGCAAAAAAGAACAATGTTGGCTACACTAACCTGCTTAAAACACAAAGTTGGCCACACTGCAAACTCGCTTGCAACAAGAACCGCTTTGTACAGCACATGTTGCAGCATCGCCCTTTCCTTTCTCGCATGGGAGTTTTTCTTAGCCGTTTATTTTTGAATTTCCACACCGTTCTGCATCTGTTACTTGTATTTGTTTGCTTTTATTTTATTTCTTTGTGTGTTGTTTATTTTTGCTAACCAAAAACAACAACAAAACACGCCCTAAGCTGAAGTTGTAGACACTTAGAAGTTGAACTCTCGACGTTTTTCACTCTATTTTTGGACCTTTTGAAAGGAAAAACCTTGTACAAAAGGAAAGACTCAACTTTGATAACTGTCGTAGAACAAGAAAACCATTAAAGTTTAGTAGCGCATTAGAGTGGAACTCCGATTTAGGTTAAGATCCTATGAGTATTTATTATTATGAAAAATTAAAATATTTTAAGCTACTTAAGAGTTCCACTCTATAGCTTTTAATAAACACCAACACTTACTGAAAATAACACTCGCACAAACACCTGAGTGTAGAGTGTAGTTTTGCCACTAACTGTACGGATTACCATCGCTTTTCGATCGCCTCTGCCACTAAACAAAATTCTGTTTTCCAATTCTAAATCAACAAAAATCAAACGAACAACTTACATAAACACACTCAACTCAAACCGCAATTGTTGAGGAAATGCAGATGTCCATTCGAGGCCATCGCATATAAAGCTAACGAATCCGTGGAACGTGGAATTTCCCCCAGATGAGGATTTTAGGATCAAGCCACTCAACGGAGTTTTTCACATCTACGAAAATGATGTAAGTAGGCATTTCATTCTTTTTAAAAACTTAAATAATCCTTTAAAAATTATGATTTTACAGGATGCGAGCAGCGATATTAAGTTTGAATATCCGGATATGAGCCAATTCGTGAATGACATGCAGGTCATGTGCAATATGATAGCTGATGGGCCATTGTAAGTTTAATCCAAGCTGAAATTATTCAGAAAATCATTAAAGCCTTGATACTTTTTAAGGAAATCCTTCTGCTATCGACGCCTGTGCTATCTGTCGTCCAAGTACCAGATGCACGTGCTCCTGAACGAACTGCGGGAGCTGGCCGCCCAGAAGGCGGTGCCGCATCGGGATTTCTACAATACCCGCAAGGTGGACACCCACATCCATGCAGCTTCCTGCATGAACCAGAAGCATCTGTTGCGCTTCATCAAGAAGACGCTGAAGAACAACGCCAACGAGGTGGTCACCCACACCAATGGCCAGGCAATGACCCTGGCCCAGGTGTTCCAATCGATGAACCTGACCACCTACGACCTGACCGTCGACATGCTGGACGTGCACGCGGATCGGAATACGTTCCACCGCTTCGACAAGTTTAACTCCAAGTACAACCCCATCGGGGAGTCGCGGCTCAGGGAGGTGTTCCTCAAGACGGACAACTATCTGAACGGCAAATACTTTGCACAGATCATAAAGGTATGGGTTGGTTGCATTACCAGTTCAGTTTCGTATTCATGCTTATAGGAAATGATTAAAAAAAAAATCAAATATCTACTAAAGTTACTAAAATATTATAATTTCCATTATATAAGAAAATTTCTAAATATCCTTTATAACCTCTCTAGGAAGTGGCCTTCGATCTGGAGGAGTCCAAGTACCAGAACGCCGAGCTGCGTCTCTCCATCTATGGCAAATCGCCTGATGAGTGGTTCAAGCTGGCCAAATGGGCCATCGACAACGATGTGTACAGCTCGAACATCCGCTGGCTGATCCAGATACCGCGCCTCTTCGACATCTTCAAGTCGAACAAGATGATGAAGTCATTCCAGGAGATCCTGAACAACATATTCCTGCCGCTCTTCGAGGCGACAGCCAGACCCAGCAAGCATCCGGAGCTGCATCGCTTCCTGCAGTACGTGATCGGATTCGATTCCGTGGACGACGAGTCCAAGCCGGAGAATCCGCTCTTTGACAACGACGTACCCCGGCCGGAGGAGTGGACCTACGAGGAAAATCCGCCCTATGCGTATTATATCTACTACATGTACGCCAACATGACGGTGCTGAATAAGTTTAGACAGTGAGTGAATGGAACTTAGTGAAACATGATTTTTATATTAAAGCTGATATTTTGTACAGATCACGCAACATGAACACCTTTGTGCTGCGACCCCATTGTGGCGAGGCCGGGCCCGTGCAGCATCTGGTGTGCGGCTTCCTGATGGCCGAGAACATCTCCCACGGCCTCCTGCTCCGCAAGGTGCCCGTGCTGCAGTATCTGTATTACCTGACCCAGATCGGAATAGCCATGTCGCCGTTGTCGAACAACTCGCTGTTCCTCAATTACCATCGCAACCCGCTGCCGGAGTATTTGGCCCGGGGTCTCATCATCTCCCTTTCGACGGATGACCCTCTGCAATTCCACTTCACCAAGGTGGGTTGACCTGAAGTTCTTTAAATTAAAGTCCCTTTTCTAGCTGTAATCGTTGCATCTGCATAGTGCCACTTTGCAAGATGGGTTGACCTATACTCCTTTTATAATAAGTTCCTTAGCTAGCCGTAAACGATGTATTAGTTTGTGAAGTTTGGTTTCTAAAATTTCGTACAATTTTATATCTTTTTTTATTTCAAAATACTATGTGCCCTTTCAGGAACCCCTCATGGAGGAGTACAGCATTGCGGCCCAGGTGTGGAAGCTCAGCTCCTGCGACATGTGCGAACTGGCCAGGAACAGTGTGATGATGAGTGGATTCCCACACGTCGTGAGTTCTTAACAATTAATGTGTAGTTCCCAATAGAATGGCTTATACAAATTTCAAAACACCGACAGATCAAACAACAGTGGCTGGGACCTGTTTACTACGAAGACGGCATCATGGGTAACGACATCACCCGCACGAATGTGCCCGAGATCCGGGTGGCCTATCGCTACGAGACGCTGCTGGACGAGCTCTCCAACATTTTTAAGGTGAACCAGACCTGCTCCGTCTCAGACCTGCACGCATCGTAGTCTGGGTGGCGGTCCTTCTGCTCCATCGCGTTGTTGTGGCTTCCTACGCTAACTTAATGCAAATTACGCAGATATATACGCTAGTTATATACATAATTTAAATGTTTCTGTACTAACCAAATTGTAAGCGCGGCAGACCAAAACCTTTAAATATACAAAACTTGTACACGCAACGCTGTTTGCTTTTTGTGTACTTTAAAATCGCATATAAAATAATATAGGATTGCCCCAAAACTAAGGGGAATATACAAATCAAATTGTTATTTTTGAATTTGAATAACCGTTGCGCCCAAAAAATCTAATTAGCAATTAGAGATGGTCAAAAATCGATAAATAGGTGTGTGTCTCCGCTGTCGCAAACGGTCACGCTAAAATGCTGGGAGTGTGTATCCGCTAGCTTAGCGAGGACATGCTCCCGACATTTTAGAGTGGCCGTATGGCAATCTTGCAGTATATGGTTGAAATTTATTTGATATATACTGAACAGTATTTTAAATATGGTCGCCCTAAAATGTTGGGGTGGTGTCCTCGCTATGTTAGCGAAGACAGCCTCCCCGCGTTTTAGCATGACCGTATTTTAGTATCGTACTATCGTTTTTCGTAGCTATCGATACTGGCACTTACGATTGCTTACGTTTGCCTACGTTCGCTTACGTTTGCTTACGTTGTGCTGAGCACAGCGCAGTCGAAAAAAAATGGGTTCGAAAAAAACTCGTGAAATCTAAAAAAGACCCCGCAAAAGCTGTGCTTTCGCTAAGAAAAAGATTATAATAAAAACAAAGCATTAGCCCCGCGGTCACACCGCTCTCGGGTAATTGAAATTTCAATCCGGCCACAGTCTACACCTCTGTTTTCTGTTTTCCGATGCAGGCATACCATACAAAGAAAATGCTGAAAAGCTGAAAGAATAAAGGAAAAGCCGACTGACTGACTGCCCACTAGCCGCGCACAGTTAGCTGAGGTGTTTTTCCGTCCGGGGAAAGCGAGGAAATCGTTGATTTCAGGGCGGCGTCCCCCCCGCAGAGCGAGACAGCAAGAGAGGGAGTAGAAGAAGGAAGAAGAAGAGGCGGAGGAGCAGCACCAGGAGGATATATTCATATACCGCCGATATATACACAATGACCACCCAGCGGACGCAGACACAGGCCAGGAATCCGGGCAATTCCGATTCCGACTATGAAACGCTGATGCAGCGCCTGCACATCGGTGGCGGAGGAGGGGGCGGAGGAATTGGCGGCCCTGGAGACGGGGGCATGGCCATGAGGAGCTACCAGCGCTCACCCGGCGCCATCGAGAACTTCCTGCAGGAGAGCCAACAGCAGCAGCAGCAACAGATGCAGCAGCACCACCTCCACCACAACCAGGACTACAAGCTATACGAGCGCGGCAACATCATAGCCGCCTCCAAGTACGCCACGCCCCGTCCGGTGGAGCAGCTGCAGCACGTCCACAATGGCAGTGCCCACATCTATGCACCCACCGCCCAGATATTGGGCCAGCGCATTGCCCCCCAGAAGCACTCGCCGGTATACGAGAACCTCGAGTTCTACGGCCAGTTCGATTCGAATCACAAGCGGGCGCAGCCCCAAAGTCCCGGGAGCCGGCAGAGCGCCATGCTGAACGACTATCTGCTGATGCAGCCCATTGGGGCGGGGCGCTTTGCCCACACGCCGGTGCCCGAGAATCCAGGCAGAGGAGGAGGCGGTGGACCGCCACCAGGGCGATCTGTGGCCCTTGGGCCAACCAGCGACCTGGAGGAACACGCTGCGCCCATCTACGAGAACATCATTCCCCACTCCGGCCAGCGAGCTCAGCCGCAGGCCTCGCCGGCCACCGCCACCATGTACCAGGAGATGCAGCCCACTTCCAACTCCTCGGGCGGCTCCTCCACCGCTGGCCTGGATCTCAACGCCCTGCTGGCCTCGCCCATGCACCAGCGCAGCATCAGCAGCAATACGGCCAGTTCCAGCTCCTTGGGCTCGCCCACCCAGCGCTATAGGAACTTGTCTCTGCCCAGCCATCTGAGTCCAGTGCCCACGGCGCAATCGGTGGCAAAGCTGCAGCAGCACACGCCCATCAAGTCGCCCGGTGGCGCCATCAATGTCTCCGTGAATCCCAACTATATAGAGGACATCAACAGTTCCGACTACGTGTGCATGACGGCGAATCTGCACAGGAATACGTCAGCGGGATTGGCCACCGGCAGGGCGGCCGCAACGGGAGCCACCGCCCAGCGAACTATCCAGGAACCAGCTAAGATATCGTCCTCACTGGCCATGGGCATGGCCACGGCAGCAGCGCCGGCCACGTCCATTGCACCGGTGGTAGCGGCACCATCCACCACCTCCCTGAGGGCCACGCCCATTGCGATGACAGCCCCACTGGCGGTGGCCACATCGCCCACGCCCTCGCAGGGCAGCACAGGTGAGCGGATCAGTACCAGAAACTGCCTCATGGTGATGGGAAAGGTACCTAACCGCCCAGGGGGAATACAATCTTAGGAACCTAGTATCAATCCCAAAATCAAAAAGATATTCCACCACTAATTAAAAAATATATTGAGTATACTTCTTAAACACGTCGTTAATTAGCAATGTACTCATAAAAATATTTTAATATGGTTAGTTAGAAGTTATTGAGAATGTATACCCCCTGGTTGTGTATGGTATAAGGTAGTAAAAATATTCAGGTACCTAGATTGATCCCATCACCGCGCATTCCATCCATTCCACATTGTATTAATCAAACTAATGAATCCAAATGTTTCCCCCACTAAAAATGCTTGCACGCAGCCGTTAACGCTGCCTTGAAACCCAGGAGAGGTAGGAGGGGCTGGGCTGCGTTCCCCGAAAGGGGTTGGGTCCCAGTTGGGTTCCGTTTGTGTCATCACTCATCGCTCAATCATAAACCGGTTGGCGGGGCGACAAACTTTGGTCAAACGGTTGCCGCTAACCGGTTTATTTTCAAGTCCTTTACCTGAACCGATTCGCAGAAAATCGAAACCGATTCAAAAGAACTAGAGATTGCATACGATTCTCACAATATAATTTTATTGAAACCATTTTATTATTTCTTTAAAATCTTTAAAATGTGCACGATAAAAATAATTCATATGCCTAATTAAAAAAACCTATAATCAATTTATTATTTAAATCAAATAGAAAATATTATTATCAGTCCTTATATCATTAAAAAACCTATAATTAATTTATTATTTGATCAAAAAGAAAATATTTTAAATCTATTTTTTCTAAATCTAAAATATTTTTTGCACTTTAGACTTCGATTTTTTAAAGATTACTTAAAAAAAATATTTTTAATAGATTTCTCAAAATGATTAAAATTGATTTTTTTATCTTTTTTTTCTTGAATACGAAACTAATATAACATAAGCTATTCCCCTTTTTTGTGATTCGTAAGTTCCTAATTTAACTTTACTTATTTTTGCTCATGACTAATAATCGTGTAATCCATTGTGCAGGCCCTTAGCTCGAACAAAAGTATTATTTGCTTTAGAAGTGTTTGTTTTACCTTCGATTTGCTTGCCCAACAAATCTCCCGCATGTTTATTTCTGATTTCCAATGCTGACTAAGACAAAGCCTTTCTTGGCAACCCAATTCGAAAGCATGACCTAATATCTAATATCTGCCTCGTTCGCCGACAGGTCTCACCAAGAATCTGCTGCCGTACAGCGTCACCCCGCCGCGACCGGCTGGTCCGACGGAGGCGCAGCGGAAGATCGAGGAGCTCACCCGCCAGCTGGAGGAGGAGATCGAGCAGAGCGAAGAGCACGGCGAGTACTTCGGTATGTCATCACCATCCAGGCATTTGATTGAAACTCTATAATATTTATTAATCTCCAACGATTGACAGGCATCTGCCACACCTGCGGGGAGAAGGTGAAGGGTGCTGGACAGGCCTGCCAGGCCATGGGCAACCTTTACCACACCAACTGCTTCATCTGCTGCTCCTGCGGACGGGCGCTGCGAGGCAAGGCCTTCTACAATGTGCATGGCAGGGTCTACTGCGAGGAGGACTACATGGTAAGAACCAGGTTGAAGCCAAGTCTGGATGCAAAAATATTGAAATTCCCATAGAAGTATAACTATGATTTCATTTTGACCACTTATTATTATCTCTTATAATTAAAATTCCTTATTTTTGCCTGCTGACATTACTATTTCATTTGATTACTTATGATTTTATCAACATTAATTAATAATTAACTAAGAATTCACTGTTGCAGTATTCGGGCTTCCAGCAGACGGCGGAGAAGTGCGCCATCTGTGGCCACTTGATCATGGAGATGGTTCGTACTGCCCCTCGCATTCATCCTGCTCTAAATGGAGGTGTTTACATTGCCTTCGCTCTCTCTTGCAGATCCTGCAGGCCATGGGCAAGTCATATCACCCGGGGTGCTTCCGGTGCTGTGTGTGCAATGAGTGCTTAGACGGGGTGCCCTTCACCGTGGATGTGGACCACAAGATCTACTGCGTCAACGACTACCACCGGATGTTTGCGCCCAAGTGCGCCAGCTGCGGCAAAGGTGGGCTCTCATGTCCTCTTGCTTAGATTACATCGTTACCTAATCAACCATTCTAATCCTGACTAGGCATCACCCCCGTCGAGGGCACCGACGAGACCGTGCGCGTCGTCTCGATGGACAAGGACTTCCACGTGGACTGCTACATCTGCGAGGAGTGCGGCATGCAGCTGACCGATGAGCCGGACAAGCGCTGCTACCCGCTGGACGGGCGCCTGCTGTGCCGCGGTTGCCACCTGCAGCGTCTGGCGCTGCAGTCGTCGCCGCACGCCCGCCACCAGGAGCCCGTCTGCGCCTCGTACCAGTACATGGGATGAGCCGCGCACCACCAACTCCCACCTTCCTTCGACTAAGTGGCGCACACATCGAGAACTAACTATCGCAATCAACTTATTCCAATAACACAATATTATCTTAAACAGACAGAAGTGAAAACAAATGCATTTATACGAAACGATCGCTAAGTAAGTGGCTTTTTTTTATTTTGTATGGCAGTGCTTGAGGATCTCCAAACGGATCTGTTCGAAACTATGTAATGGATTCCTGAAATCTCTGGCAATTGGCAGCAATTGTTGGCAGTACTATTCTCATAAACTAATGTGTTTTTGAAATGCCCTGGGGTGTTCCTGAGACCTCTTGCGGTTTCATAGCAATAGCAAAAGTGTCTCAAATTATGCAATAAAGTATTTTACTATGATCTGGCAGATCATTATAAATAAATGATTTTTTATATGGTTGTTGGGACAGGTGGTCACAGAAATTGCATAGAACATGAATAATTGGCAAACGTGCTTAAACTTTACATTACTTTGTAGTGCTTTGAACATTAAATAATTTAGTTTTGTGCTTAAAGTATATTTCATAAAGACCAATGCCTGACTCGTACCTCAAGACTTATCAGTTTTTTTTTACAATTCAAACACTTTATATAAGAAATATTCAATCTAATCAATCTAAAAAAAACGCATTTAAACGAAGCGATCGCTAGGGGTTTAAGTTTATAATCCGGCTAGTGCTAGTGCATAAGGATCTCCAGTTGGACGAGCCGCTGGTTGGTGGTCGACGGCATGCGGTAGGGAACGCTGGCGGCCATGTTGGTCAGTGCCTTGGCCCTGCCCCGCAAGTGCCTCAGGAGGGACTCCTTGTTTTCGCTCTTGGTTTCGTCGCCGTACACCGAGCCCGATCCACTCGAGCCCCTTTGGTTCACGTACTCCTCGTACACAATGTCCATGGCCGCCAGCAGGATGTCGGGCAGCACCTTGATGATCTCCGGACCCATGCGCTTCAGGTTCGACACGCACTCGTCCACTTCGAAGGAGGTGGTGGGTATCAGCCGGTTGTTGGTCAGGATATCCGAGGCCAAACGTGATTCGCCAGCGTGATGGAGGTTGAAGAACTCCATGACCTGCGAGAGAACCGTGTAGGTGACAATCACATGGGCTTCCACATCCGTTTTACGCTCCGCCAGCGCTGCGTCTAGTTGCTTGATGACCTCGCCCAGCCGCTCCCGCATGCTTCCCGGTCGCGGTGGCTGGTGGACCACCTGGGACAACAGGGAGCACACTAGACGCAAGGCCTTGTCCAATTGGCCAGCGATGAAGTAGAGCTTGATGGCCGACTCGTAGTTGCTGCGCTTCGACAGCTCATCGCCCACCATGCCGGCCAGGGAGTACTTATCGCAGTCCATCGTGTGGAATTCGTCGAAAATACCGCTGAAAAAGAGTGAGAGAAAACTATTAGCTTTTTGCCGGGAGTGGGTAGATAAAAGCCTTCAAGAAGGATCGATCTTTCACAGCGAATTTGACTTATAGGGTAGCACCTAGAAACTCACCCTGTAAACCGGAAGGGGTTGACTTCATCCACGACCCCGAAAACCAGCTCTAGCATCTTGTCGTCGCAGTTCTCCACGAGCAGATCGCTGACGCAGTTGAGCATCGCGTTGGTGCCGTCCTCGGCTTTAAAGTGTCGCAGCAGGTAGTAATACTGCAGGGCATGCTCGGTGTCCGTCTGTTCAAAGCACTTGGCGTACATGACAATCAGCCGGACGAGATTGAGGCGCTTCATGGGCGGCGGATCGTCGGGCTCGGCGCTCAGCAGCGGTTGCTTCACCGAACTGGGTGCTCCCAGCATGCATAGCTCGTTTAATGCTATGGCCATGTGGACAGCGTGCGGTCGATTTGCCTCCGTGCGGGCCAGGAACTCAATAGCGGCCTCAAATTGGCCGGTAAGGGCCAGCACCTGGAAGTAGAGCGGCGTCTTCTCGCGGGCATTAAAGTAGTTCTCGCCGTACTTGTCCAGGATCAGGGACTGAAGGCCGCTGTAGGTCAGTTGCTCGATGTTGTAGTCACGCTTGTCCTGGCCGCGCAGGATGGAGAGCTGCATCCATAGGAAATCGTCAATGCTGCGCATCAGTTCCACGTGCGTATCGTGAGGATCACAGGCCAGCACGATGACGTATACCTAATGGAGACAGGAATTTTATAATGCTGGTGACTTAAACCGATAGAAACCCAAGTACTCACCGCCTTCTTGTAGGGATCTGTGCAGACATGCAGCTTGTTATTGTACTCGAGCTTCAGTTGGCCCTCAAGCTTGGCGGTTGAGGGATCCCTGTCGCCCATCTTTAGCAGCGTCATCAGCTTGAGCAGGTCGGGGCAGGTGCCCGCCTCCTTGAGATACCTCACAGCCGCACCCATATCGCCGCTCCTCAAGCTGTAGTAAACCAGCGGCCACAATGGCCGGCCATTGGTCACGTCGTGCAGGCCGCAGAGGGATTGCGGCTGCTGGAAAGTGACGCCCACATAGGAGCCCACTAGGTTGTAGACATTTGGAATGCCGCCCCGCCGGGCCACCACCAGATTCTGCTCGATGACCTTGTTCATGTATGTCTTATATCTTCGCTCCAGGTAGGTGCGTGCCTGCTGGATGAACTGCGGCGCCGACTGGCGACTCTTGATGGGATCGATGTTGCGCGACAGCGGCGTTACATCGGCCATAAACACCAGCACATTCCACATCTCGGCCACGAGCGAATCGTCGAAGGACTGCTGGGCCAGTTGGGCAAAGGTGGACACCAGATTGGTGCGCTGAGTGCCCTGGATATGCATCAAATTGTAGGCTGAGATCTCTTTGGCGTACAATTGCTGGATGACATTCAGGCGGGAGAACGGAGTGGGTTCGTCGGCCATGGCCGTGCGCACCATTTGCCGCTGCACGTCGGGAAAGTCCTCCTGGTGGGGACCCACCAGAGCGTTCAGCAGCAACTCCTTCTCCTCGCCCCACTCCGCGTAGATGCAGCGCCACTTCTGCCGCTCCACCGCCTCAAAGATGCTGCGGTTCGTCTCGTCGATGACGGACAGTATGGCGTTCTCCCGCTCGTTCTTCAGATAGCCCTGTACATCGGTGTCCGTGACGGGATCGAGTGGCTCGAAGGACTGGCGGGCACTGAGCGTCTCCAGCTTCTGCGTCAGCTGGGGCAGGTCCACGCCCTTGGAGCCGAGTAGTATGTGGCTGCATTGGGGTGATTGTTAGTCATTTATATGTAGTCCATAGCTACTAGTTCTACTCACGCCTGCAGATCGTTGGTGCCCGTCTGGGTGACTCGCGAGTGAAGCTCCTGGGTGGCCTGCAGCACCTGGGACATGGTCCGCTCCACGCCGGGCATCTCGGTGTCCATCTTGGTCTCGTTCGTCAGGCGCTGGGCCTGCTGCAGCAGCTCCACCAGATCCATGTTGGGCTTTTGGGAGGGAAAAAGCCGGCGCTAAACAAAAAATAACAGAAAGTCCAAGCGCGTGTTAGTGTGGCCGGCGCATCGCGAAATAGGCAAACTTTCCCGCCACAAAATATATACCGGTGGGCACAGTTCTGAAATGTGGTATTTTTATTTAGGGTACACCCTAGACTGTTGAATCTTTGAATTTAGGTGAACTGTTTCATACAAATGTAATTTTCAGAAATTTCTGAAAATATCCCCGAGGCTGTTGAATTGCTGATTGTCGTCCCCCTGTTTCATTAAAAACACATGGCAACTCTGTAACATTTTAGAATCAGCTTAATGGTGTGGTGCAATATTTTTTTAAAATAAATTTACAGAGTATATATTTAGTTCTTCTCAGCTCGTTAAAATTTTTAACATAAAATTATAATTAAAATAAAATTATTAAGAATGTTTATTTATGCTTACATTTTTTATTGTTAGTTACCGTCCAAAATGATAAGTGATTCCGGATACGTAAATTTATTAACATAAAAAACAAAAAAAATTGAAAATTTCTTGTGGAGCAACCAGCAGTTAATTTAAAACGAAAATACCCATAACAGCACAATATACCAAAACTTGGTATTTATTGCCTGGCAAAAGATTACTAGCTATTGGCAACCCTGACCAGCTGGCGTTAGGCCCATTTTTGCACCGCAAGTTGGTATATGCAGCGGGCGCCGGCGACGGTCACTCAATTGTCCATACGCTTTGGCAGCGCGCAAATCGAAGAAAGAACGGCATATTTTTTTTAGCACTGCGAGGCGAGCTTCTTCTTCCCCTCTGTCTCCGTGTGTTTGTGAGTGTGCCCCGAGTGCTTCTCTGTGTGTGTGTCTGTGTATTGGCAAAGAAAATTAGCACAACAAAAGCGAAAAGGAAACGAACACGCACGCACCTCGTCACGCGGATAAAACTCTTTGATCCGAACCGATTCGATTCGATCAGAAATCAAAAATCAGAAATCAGAATTCAAATAATTCGCCAATAACTCGCAATGTCGGCCGAAGTGGAAGCGCAGCAGAGCCAGGAGACGAACGGGACCAGCAAATTCGATGTCCCTGAGATAGAACTGATCATAAAGGTGAGAGCAGAACACACACACACACTAAATATCGAATTTAGTGGGTATAGCGAAATTTGCATACCCATACCTGCACACTTTTCTGCTCTGCGCAAATTTCCATGCAGAGTGAAAATGCAGCCAAAGCAAATGCAAACAAAGCAACTGGGAAAACACGATTCCTCCCTCTCCTTTCCACTCTTGTTCTTCCCCTTTTGCAGTCTTCTGCTGCTTCTGCTTCTTCTTCTCGCTCTGGCACTTTGCAGTGTGTCACATTTGGTTAAAACGAACAGAATACGTTTAGCACCCCTCCTCGTCGCGCCCCTTTCGCCTTGCGGTTCCTAAGCATCGCCAAAACCGGTTTTCTCCTTTTCTCCCTATCGCACACACACATACACATCTGCACGGAACGAAAATTTCGATATTGTTTTTGTTTTCCGAAATTCCTTTTATCACCACAAAAATCTAAAAATACCCTTATAAGGAGTTGGAACTGAAAGTAATAAGCTTTTAGAGCATACTTTTTGACACTTTCTTAGGGGTTTTCCAACCTTCCAGGATCAAGGGATATATTGTTCAGGATTGGAAACATTTATATTAAGTTCTTTGAATGGTTTTCTTTTTTTATAGATCTTAAAGGAATAATA